TCGCGCTGAAATTTATACTACATATATTTTTTTCCCTCCTTTCGGACGTAATCTTGATCCACCACCACTGCGCCCACCGCTTCTAGAGAGTTGAACAGTCAGCTCCGGTACAATCATTTATATCCACACCCGCACATTTGTATTCCTCTCCAGTTTTTCCTCTTGAATACAAATTTTGTAAAAGTAAGAAGGCAAAAAATGTATAATTCATACGTCAACTTATTGCAGAATTCATCCGAGTGCTGTGCTGTAGTTCATACACTTTTAGAGGCTCGATGCTCGAGTGTTATTTATACCAAAGCTCGAGCTTGCAAGCGCCATATAACGCACTATACATATACGAGGACGCGGCAGCTTTGACTCGGTTGATCTCGAAAACTTTCATAACTTCGCAGCAGTTGGAGTTTTGTTGACGAAATTATAATTAAAAATGTATCGAAGAGGCGCGCGCGCCGATAGAGTCGACAAATAGTGCGTGAATGGGTATTCACGAACGAGCGCAGAGCTCCTGCGGATGATCAAAAGATGTGCGTGTACATCGAGCCGCACGCACGCAAGCCGAGCGAAATAAAATTTCAATGAAAACTGTCGCGTAAACAGACTCCGAAGTTGGGCGCGCGCGAGCGCAGGAGCGGCTGTAAACTTAATTAAAGTCATTTACATGGAGGCATGCGGCTGCTGTCGTCATGCAGTCGCACGCATGCAAATACGGCCGACTCCGGGGCTGCGCTTTTACACACCTATATTCAGATATGCGCGCGAGAATATATATCTATATGTATGATGTATGTGCATTAAATACACGCAGCACATATACACATAGGCGGCGGCGCGTTCTGCAATGATGGAAAAGACTGCGTATAACCGTGTGCAGGTACTATACAAGCAGCACGTGGATGGGCGCGTGTGTGCGAGTGCGCTTGCGTGTATTACTAATATATTATGCATGTTATTGATATTTGCATACTTAACACGTATCCGCGGCACACGTGTAGCCCTCGTTGCACCTATGCAGGTATATCGGCATGTTTGTGCCGGTGCGCGCGTGCGTGAGCTAGGTATAAAAAACCAAGCCGTGCTTTTGACGGAAAGCTCAATGGAAGATTAACGAAAGATACGAGTATCTCTCTCTCTCTTTCGCTTTTTTTCAATTGCTAACGCTCTCGAAACAGTTCGCGTGTATAGCTGCCGAGCGTTTGCCTCCGAGCATTGCGTATCCTCTTGAATCTCTACAAAAATACTCGGGAATTTTGTTCCGACCATTTTCTCTGCCTTCGTTTATGCTTCACAAATCAACGCTTTAAATGGAAATCCCCACTTTTATAGTGGGGATTATATGTATACTTGTGCAGCAAGTATAAATATAAATCATAATGTCCGTTAATTGATATTCAATTGAACGTTGCTCGCGTCATAATGCCTTAAATTGACTCTAAATTTATCAGTAGCGTGATATTTTTAGTGATGTGTGATTCGAAAATCGACTAACCTTAAATGAAATTGAACATACCCTGATAGAAAAGTTTCACATCTAAGCATGCTTGAAAGTATGGAACGAACTCCACAGTTTTTTTTTTTTAGTTTTTATATATGTTTTTATTATGATGGTGTAATACATTTGCGTGCTCAGCACGACTTAAATCAATGTACAAAATTTTTGTAGATAATGTAGGCGCCCATGTTTCCACTAGCCGTAATTGTTGATGTATATTTGCTTTAGCCTTGCTGTGGCTAGTTTTTGAATTTATTTACATTGATGATATTATTTTTGAGATTATGGAAAAAATAAACATTTTTTGAAAAAACCATATCAATAATCTGCCTTAACGAACTCCATATATAACAGTGCTTTGACTTTTACTATTATTTTGACTTTGCCACTTGCAGATTTATGGATAAAAGTACTCTCCATCTAGTGGTGGAGTCTTGATGTAGTATTAATTATCATTTTCTGCTTATTTATAATGTACTTCATGTTTTTAATATAACATAATTGAAAAATCTCAAAAAAGAGATAATTAATTGTAATATATTGTGAAACATTTAAAATGAAAATTTTGTGATTAGGCCATTTTTATGTTAAACATCTCTGTAGAGATTCTGTAAAGGCTTGGTATTGTGAAGGAAATTAAAGTAAATGATTCAGTAAAGTTGTCCATATATATAGTTAAGGTCACATCTATTGATTCTTACTATTTTAGGTAAGGATTCCTGTGAATCTAGTCATGACTAATAATCTCAAATTCACTCGCAGCTTTATAATATTGCGACCAAGTGTTTCTAATTGAAAAAAAATTGTCATGATATATTTCCTACATTTATCTTCGAACGTAAATATATTTGAGCATTATTTTATTAATAATTTACGAGTTTATTACCATCAAATAGGTTTATGAACTAAAATTTTTTATAAAAATTATATACTGTTCAAAATAATTGATTAATATTGTTAAAATTTTATTATTGTTCACATCTTATTGTTAGATAATGCACTTGAATTTATAATTCACAGTACTATATTCCCCTTCGTTTTATGAAATAACGAAGATGAGGATAAAATACGGTAAATCAGACTCATGCATGTTGCACACATGATAATAGTTTATACTTAATAGAGATCTCAGAAGACACACGAAAGAACATAGACACAACAGAAACTTTTTAAAGCCTTCAAAAATATTGGTTTAAACTAATCGGACATTTTTCTGTCACTTGCGAATTCACAATACTCCGTCTGTTGAAGGAATCAGAGATATCAACTTTGATTACGGTAAATCCTATAACATTACAAAATGAATTCTGACAGATTTATATTTGTACATTTACCTACAAAAATATAAATTATTTTTACAATCAATAAACAGCTATATGTATGGATAACCGTTGTAAGTGTAACTTCAATAAAATTCCACAAAAAATCACATATGATATGTTTAAAAATTCATTTGATTTATTTTATGATTAATCCTACTCGTCACAGTGTGCAAATGGCTTTATATTATAATCCTATTATTGTTGCACTCGCTAGCTTGTTTTCTGCCTATTTACTTCTCTACCTAACACGTCTAAAGAAGTTTAATTTCAGAAGCATTTGCATTACCAAAGTAAAATTTTAAAATAAAAGTATAAAAGTTTTATCCTTTTTTTAGAAAGCTATCTTAATGCTATCGAAAAAGTACATCCTTTTGTGGATTTATTTGTCCTCTATTCTGTACTTGATTTTTCAGAAAAATTGAAATTTTCTGTGCATTCGCGAAGTGTTAAAATGGTGTTGGGGAACGCATATACTATTTTGCATCGAGCCAGTGCAAAGTTAGTAACTTAAAAATTGCTTCGACGCCATAATTCTTTTTTCACTCCGATTTTGGCTCATTATCTTGCGTGGAATATAATTCAAGTGGCTCTAACTGAGGAGTGGTGCAGCTGCAAGGGAGAATGAGAGAGAAAATCTTGCATTATCGTTTGGATGTAAGTCATGCAAAAAATTTATTGCCACACGCGATTCTGCTCTAAAGAGCCGACAAAAACCGAAAGAGGAAAAAGATTTCCATTTTATGGCTCGCAGTCCGTATATATATGTAGCGTTGTATTCAACTAAATCAATTGCGAGGGAGAGAAAAAAATTTCTTACTTTAAGCCACTCCAGCGTAATATTTTGAAAATCATAATGCTTACGATTGTCGAATATGGTTGGGTAATTCTGATACTTTCGCCTTACAAAAAATGTTAATCTAGCTTCCGTGAGTGTACCTATTTTTTGTATGAACGAGATAATAAATGACGTAGTCGTATAATGCATACATAACGCTGTTCCTATCTTATATCAACGCAAATGATAGCAATGTGAAGCTGATGTATAATACTCTATGTGATGCCACATGAAATTATTCGACTGCATTGTCAACTCTAATGCTGCAAATCTCGAAGTAATAATCTGGAAAATTAATACTTCGCAAAGTTCTTTGAATAATGTTAACATTAACATTCAATAGTGTCATTAAATTCATTTTTAGTGTAAAGATTACGATTATAAATTTAAGCTTATTTATTAGTGAATTATTTATACTAAGCATTAATAGTATTTGAAGGTAGTAAATTGTGTTATTTAACCTATATACATTTATTCTGAAGTTATGTTTTCGTACTCTTCTAGTTTCAAAATTTTCAAATGACTCTTTTTACATACGCTTTCAATCCGCTTAACATTCACCTCTGAACATGCTGATTTTACGATCAAAAGTATAGATCAAAGGAATGCATTACTCTTTTTTAGTGTAAACGAAGCTACATTGAAATGAAATTGGGTCATAAAGTAAATTGATTAACTGCAACGAAACAAAAGTTTTTTTACATAGAATGATCAAGAAAGAAAAAAGTCACTATTCCTCGTTATTCGTAGCAGAAATCAGAGCTCGATCAGTGCTCTCAAGATTGCGCTCCTTTTTTTCGCTCGATTTTTACGTTGTAAATACTCCCTCGCAGTACTTCGTATCTGTGAAATTAAGGGCATCCCGAAATTCACGCTTGATCAGCTACTAAATCGAATTGAGCTTTTCCGACGTTACCGACAATGTCTAGCAGTTAGCCTAGTTCTAAAGCACCATCGAAAGTTTATTGCGCAAGATGCCTTTTTTGCACCTACAAGTGAAGTTCGACGTTCCCAACGACAATTCTGTCGATGAGTGATTCATTATTGCGGCGAACAATTAAAAAACTTAAAATCATTACAGCACAATCAGTTTTTACTAGGTTAACCGAAAAATCGTGTTTTATATTAATCACACTACTTAGCAGAAAGTTCGCTGAGGAAATTCAGTTTTTTTCTCATATTATATTATAAATCTGTATTACTTGAAAATTTAATCAAAAACATTTTGTTATTTTTATTACTATTGTTATTAATTTTATTAAAGGATTATCATATGAAATTAAATTTCTTATCTATATTCAGACATCTGTTTGTTCCAAAGCTTTAAATACAATCGTATTTTTTGTTACAGGAGAGAAAGTAGTATTGGCAGTGGTGCAAGCTACGTCAACAGCAGGCCGCCGCGAAGCCTGGAAATCGTCAAACGGCTGTAGACCGTGCATCGGCAGTCAGGAGGGCTCGACACAGGCCAAACGAGCGCGTCACCCAGCGCCGATCGTCAGTTCCGCCAGTAGTGGCGAGAGCAACAAGGAGAATGAGGAATCTCAAAAGAACGACGACCACGACGCCGGTGACGGTCACGACGTTCGCGACGACGACAACGACGACGACGACGAGCAGCTAGTCGTCTTGAAAAGCGACGACGACGATCAGCTGACTGAGGAGACGATCATTATGGGCGCCAATCTCAGTCGGCACAATGGCAAAGGCCTGAACGGTAGACGCGCCCAATCGAGCGGAAGCTTGTGCAATCCCGAGGGCATAAGCGTTACCAAGTTCCTACAACCTTGTCCCAAACATCATAAGGAGCTGTGAGTAAACTGACGTACTTTTAATGATTTATTTGCTTTTCTGATAAGGAAATACGCGAGTACCCTGTGTGATTTGCTTGACGCTCTATTGATAAATAATCGCACCAAGCTTGTAACGAATTTAATTGTTATTTCTGTAGAGTTTATCGTTGTCAGCCAATTATTTTGTGTAGTTCAAGGATTCATCAAAAACTCGTCACAAAAAGTTAAAAATTCGGCCTAGAAATGACATTCTTTTGTAAGAGTATGCTGCACTCGACAAAAACACGCCTTTGTCAATTAGATTATAAGCTACATGCGCAGGCATGGAACATTCTTATGTCATTTTTGTCTCAGCTAAAAGATCGTTGAGGCAGTATTTATACAACATTGTCGTTTAGCTCCCACGTTTCTTGTATATATTTATACTTATTTAGCCTTACACCATATCATTGTCTCTTTACTGCGCTCACGACTGCGGTGCAACATTACTCCTACGCTTAACATTCTATTAACTCGCAAAATAAATTGTTCACGATGTGTCGTTTAGTTTTCTCCATATATTTATACAGCATATATAGTGCACGAGTGCATGGGTATATATACGGTACGTACGCCTCGCCGTATATGATACTTTCTTTCGAGATGAAACTTTCGACTAGCGCAAAACTGAAGGATCATGACTATTTGCAAAGTAGGCTATAGTAAGTACGCGTTGGCGGCTCACCGCCAACGCCGCCGCCGTCGTTGCTACAGCTGCAGTCGCCGCCGAATAGTAGTACACATCGCTTATGATGATATTCAGCTGCGCCGCTCGTAGTCACTTTAAAGAAAGTACCAAAGTTTCATATTGTGCCTGCCAGTTCTTTTGTTACTTTTTAGAGTGGCCTATATCTCTGCACATGCGTGCCAGAGAGAAAGAAAGAGTGAGAGAGAGAAAGAATCGTTCAATCGACTGCAAATTTAACCATACAAAATAAACCGCTGTTCGAATATCATTTTAATTCAGGACTGCGTGGAATGCGAAGAAAAATATTGACGAATGCTACCGGATGCTGAGTTATAACGAGCAATTGTTGAGCTTTTGAATTTTTTACCTACCATACACGAATTTTAAAAAATAACATTGTTTACCTTCGATACATCTCAAACTATTTTCTCTCCTCTCACTCTGTTTCGGTATCTTGGATTAAAAACTGAAAAATCGATCGAATTGTATCGAATTTTCAATAACGCCGTTTATGGTGTTATGAAAACAATGAATCGTGAAATATGACGATTAGCTACATGCAGGAAGGCACAAAGATATATTCAAATTTAGTTAAAAATCCTCTAGATAATTTTAAGGTTTTCCCAACGGCCTATACAGTATATGCATTTTCAGTGGGTAGGGATACCCGTATGACACGTAACCAGCCATAATTATCCTTTTCAATGGGGCGCACTGCGCGTGCTGCGGGATCAAAATTTAATAATCCAGTCGGACGTTTGTTAAACAGTCTTTAACGATTGTCTATTTGTATATGGCTAGTGGACTTTCTACCGAGTTGACTCCCGCGCGTAATCTCTGAAACGAAAATGGACGGTAATTAAATGTGGCGAGGAGCGCGGCGCGGAGGAGAAGCGAGTTTGCTGACCTCATACACCCATTGGTAGGATTCCTTTCTTCTTCTCAGAGCGAGAGCGAGTTTGATATTTCGCATATGCATGCATATGCGCCATCCTTTGGTCTTGGGATTTGCCCATGCATGTCCGTAAATATGCACATAATACTGATGCAGAGTTTACGCGTGTGTGCACGCGCGAGCCCGAACCTTTATTATAGCGTTGAAAATAGCGTGACTTTTTTTTAGAAAAATGGAGATTTATATAACAAGTTTTATAATTTGGAAAAAAGGGAATTATTTTGCTTATTATCATTAGTCGCATCAATTCTCCTTTCATTTGATGTCTTTCAAAATTACGCATGAAGCTTCGTCGACGCAAATAATCGCATTGATTGTACTCATTTTGCTACATTCTCATGCACAATACATTTTGCAGTTTAATAAAGGATTTAATTTAATACACAGCGAAGCCATTGAAAATAAGCTTTTTTTAGCGGGTAAAGTACATTGAAGTGTAAGTTTAAATTTCGGTATATTATGAGCGTGTTTTTCATTAAATTAGTTTGCTAAACAAGAACATTTAATCAATAAATATGCAAGAAAGATAATGTAACGTTGCGGTCATTACTTACTGCGCAGAGTTGGAAGCCGTTAGCTTGCGGCGTGTTTAACGACGCTTAATCGACGTTAAAGAAGTCGTTAGGGTCATCGTTATTAAACTTTGTTGTTAATCGATGAGTGCGGCTGGTATAGCGTTTTACTTTGAAGTCGGAAGGTTTTGCGCTTCTGTCGAGCACTTAATTTTTCCTGGAATAAAATGAAAGTTTTTATATTAAAAAACTAAAGTTTGCTTATACTTTATTTTTCCTGAAATAAGGTTTGAAATTATTTTTACAAATATTTCTTATATGATGTGGTTCAATCTTATCTGAAAATGCTTTTTTGTTCGTATTGTAGTTTCCGTTAGGTTGAAAAGAAGATAAAAAAATAACCTATTGGGGATATTGCAGTTATTTTATCGAATTGTAAAGTAGCATTTTTATAAAAATTTGTCTAGATGCACCATTGAGATCACCGTGAATATTTAAATGTGAATGTGTGCTAGGAAAAAGAATGAAATGATAAAGAAATTTTTCGATTTACCAACTCTTCATTTTAACTATACTTTTGTTGATTCTTTTATAAAGCCATGCTGTTTCCGAAAATCATGTACCATTCGAATCCCAATTTATATTCAATTTGTTCTGCTTACAGTTATAAATTTTGCGGTTCACTGCCAAACCATCTGGACGGCAAGGATGCTTTGGACGATGAAACGACCGAGAATAACAACATCATTACGGACACTATCAGCGGAAATCTTGGTGGCACATTGCCACACAAAAAGAGACTCAGTGAACATTTCACGGGTGAATCAACGAATAACACAGATCTTGTGAAGCATCGATCAGAGGAATCACTCGACGACGATAACCCTTGGAAGTAAGTTCATTTCAGACGATATTATCATCCTTTGTCTACAAAATACCTTTATCTGTATTTATATTAAAAATTTCTTATCCATTAATATTACATAGTACTAGAGTTGAATATGTAAAAACTTTTTTTACAGTATTAAACTTTACATTTTCAATAAAGTCTGTACTTATTAGTAGTGAAGCATTTGAACAACAGAAAATGTGGCCTAGATTAAAATCCTTAATGTTGCATATGTAAAAGTAAATTTTCCTTACATATCACTTATGGCTCTAATTTTTCATTTAGATATCGTCTCGAGGGAGCGGATCTCGAAAAAAATCGCCAGGCCGAGCTGTTGCGCAAAAAGCGCGGTTCGGACGCGAGCAGTCACAGTTGCCAGCATCATCATTTCTATGAACGACGTCGAAATTCGAGCACGCTATCACATCGTCGAGCGCATCGGAGCGCCGAGCTCGACGTCAATGGGACTCTACCAAAAACTAAACGACAAGATTCAACCAAACGCAGTGCTCCGTCCCTTCGTGAATTGGGCGACGGTCCCACCCGTGCGAGTCGTATTTCAATTGATAAAATCGATGATGATTTGTTACTTAAAATGGTGCACAAGTCCGGATGTGAGCATGCTAAACGACAGCATCAACATCAACATCAGCATCAGCACAAGGTTTGTCCAAAATTTAAGAATATTTTTAAAGATTTTTTAATTTCCATCAAATTAGCTTTAAAGTTATTCACAAAGCTGTGAATACACGAAATTCCCAAGATTTAACATGATTCCGTTTCAAATTTTGACAGCGCGGCCATCCGCATCAAGGAAAATGCATCGACTTGAAATTACACAAGTTGACGACAGGTGGAGAACCACAGGATCAAGGCTATGCGTCTGAAAGATCGCCGGAGGACGAGCACCCTCCATCGTTGCCGGGGCAACCTTTTCCAGTTGTTACACCAGGTAAGTGAACTACTCGTGTTCGAATTCATAGCGGAATCTCCGGAATTTTCGTAAACGACAAAATATAATTTAATTTAATATAATGTATAGTGCTTGAAAAGCTCGTGTAAAGTTTTCATTTTGTCCTTTTAATTATCGTGTTCTAAGTATACTCGTTGAGCTCGACTCAATCAACGAGGTTAGCCTGGGAAAGGAGCTTATTTCATACTAATTGTTTATATTTAAAAAATCAAATGTAGTTACTGACCAAGAATTTTTCAATAAGAATATCGTGCTCTACCCTTGTTATTCAGATATTTTTCATTAAAATAAACAGTTTTTTTAACATATTTATATCACTCTCCAAAGGCAAAGTGTTATGTTGTTAATTAAAATTGTGATCCTCGCAAAAAACAATTCACTTACGAGCACGTACCTGGAAAACGAATAATTAACTACAATAATTCAAACATTGAAAAAGTACACGTATGCGGAACAAAGGCAGTGTATGTTCTATCCATGTTTTATTTTAATCAATATTTGCCTGTCGAACAAGTAAGCCCCAACACGGGTGTGATAATTATTCAAACTGAAACACGATCGAGCTGCTGTCATTTGTTCGGCAAAGTTTTAATTACTTGTTAGTGTATGGTATTGGACATGAAATTTCTAGCTTTATGACAAAAGTTTTTTATCTAATCAAATAAATATCACCAAACGTCTGGCTATAGTCAAAGTTATGACTAATTATTTACTCTAAATAAAGACCAACGTAGTTTAGAATATGACGCAGATAATAAGCTTTTCTATTGCGCTATATATTGCGCATCAAAGGCACTCTTGAAAACAATCATACTAAAACTGACTTGCATAAAGAATATTTAATGCGATATTTTACGGCCGTAAAAACATGATTAGCTATATAGTCACATTCGATGTTGTCAAGACCGGCTGTAGAGATTCGCACGATTTGAACTTCAAAGTTATTACTTTAATGAACAAAACAGGTGCTGTGCGCGCAGCTCGTGAATCACCAACTTTATGTATATGATTGAAGCTATTCAGGTGCAAAAACCCATCAGAATGCCATCTTTGTAGGATGGAAAAGCGCATTTTATTCACGTTGAGATGAAATATAATTCTATATATAAAATAATGAATACCGCATTCAAGAATTTACAAAGAGTTAAGCATTTATGCATTTGGGTTGCATATTAGTATGTTAGATCGAGTTTCGTCCGCGGTATGTCTCTTTTGGTATTAGTAAAATTTATCGGTGTTATTTGAAAATCTTTGAAAACTTAGAATTATGTCATCTCATTCAAGAAGAGAATTATTTTAAAAGACTTATTTTAAGTGAACATATTAGAACTCTTTTGTAGATTAAATTCTTTGTGATGTTGATGCAAAAAAACGAAATTTTTTTCTCCATTCTCATTCTGTAAAACTGTAAAAAATTGTAAACAAAAAGATTAAGGTTACATGATTTCATGAGTCCGAGACTTTTATCTTCGTGAAACAACTAGATACCGTCTATATGCAGGTCATAGTTCACTAGCCAGAGAATGAAAAGCCATCGTAATTTCCGGATCGAAAGCGATCGCGGTAAGTCTAAATCATCATAGAGCTAGCTGTATATATCGATCTATGGTCATTAAACGTAGCGCTAAAAGGTTGATGTACGTGGGAAAGAGACTAGAATTTCGATCGGTATTTACTCGAGTACCCATTTGTACACGCGTACAGCTGTACTGCACTCTTCATCTCAGTTTATTTAACATGCGTTTCCCTGTTTTTTCACGGAAAGTCAACTTGGTAAAAGTCTACTGGATCGTTGTTAAAAAGTTGTACGTTAGAGAAAAACAAAAGCTTTTAACAAATATTAATGTAAATAAAATATTTGTGTTAGTTTTTTTTTCCAAATTTCAGACTACAAAAACGAATTTTTTAACGACCCTCGCTGATTTTGAATACGTAAAAAGTGGCGAATGTAATTCAAAACTACAACGTTATAGTTGTAAAACTTTTTTTATAAGAATGTGGAAAAGTTCACTTGTTTGTATTACTTTGTTTTCGACAAAGTAAGGTGGAAAACGATTGTTACACTGCTCAAAATATTAGAAGTTTGATGTTATTTTTAAAAATTTCGATATATGTAAGAGATCATTTATTTATGTACCATTGGTGAGATTGTCAGACAAATTACCCTCATTACATGACAGAAAGGTAATCATTGCATACTCCAGTATCTTATCTTTGCGTTTATATAAACGCGTCATGTATATTAGTTTTTCGCGTCCTGAATGCCTCCATATATGCATACGCGGTGTTACATTGTGCAAATTCTTTGTTGTGAATTATGCACATCGCTAATATTGATTTTGAACTTTTATTCACTCGTGCGCGCAGCTTGATAGAGCTGCGCGAATCTCCCTAGCACGCTTCATTTGTTCTTTTGCCGAGTATATAACCGATAATTAGTTTTTTCGAGCTCCTTTTCTTTTTGCTAATATCGAGGTAATGTACATTTTTTAACCGTGATCGATTGTGCATTTTTCATATCTTTGTGCGCGTGCAAGCGTGAATGCTTTCTCCACAAGTTTTATCTATAAACACACACATACACACGCGCTTAAACGTCATTAACGTACTCGTGTAGTTAACGTCGAGTATAGCGCGTTTGGCGCATTTCAAAACGATCCTCGTGCGTTCGCTCGTAATACGCTCTGAAAAAGCTCAACGAGATTTACAATTATCATCATCCACTTAACTTTTAATCCAATTTAGCGTGATCTACTTGATATTATGCATCAAGCAAAGAGCCCCAGCCCGTGGCAACCTCCAAACCATAAATAAACTGCCGGGTTCTCAAAAAGAAACTTGCGCGCGGCTTGCTCGCGTCTATATACGTATAGCACAGTTTATCATTCTCGAGCTTGTGCACCATTAAACATCACACCGCGCGCCGGTGACGAAGCTCCATCTCTCTCCCTTTCTCTTTTACTCCCGTATTTTTCTCGCTTCAAAAGTCTATATACGCATGATGTGCAGGCACTGCTGCTATTGCAGGAGTTTTGTAAGCAACGCTCCCCAGATGCATTAATAATTAATGCAAAAGAAATCGCGAGCTTCGTGTATATATAGAAAAAAAAGGAGAGGTACGCGTACCCAAGCAGGCGCGCTTTGGTAATATAAAGTGCGGGTGCAACGAGTACTCGAGTTCTTTTCACGTTAATACCTCGTGACGGATGGGTTCTCTTCCTCCTCCTTCTCTCTTCATCCGCGTCTTTCTTCCTCTCTCTCTTGCTCTCGCTAGCGGAGATTATATATACATACATATAAGCCGAAGCATGACGTGCATCGAGCGTAATCCGTCTCACCGCGAGAATCGATGTATACAACGCGTCGTGAATCTTATGCCATGCACTACGCAGCGATAAATCTTTATTAAAGTTATATGCAAATGTAACGGGAATCAGCATTTACATATTTTTCAGCGTACATACTCGATTATTACCCTTTCTCGATTCTAATTTTGTTTGATTTCATCCTTATAAAAGCTCATGTATTCACTTGTCGAGGAAATCGCTTTTCCATGATCAATAAAAAATTCTCTATACGCGCTCTCGGATAGAAAATATATCAATGATCATTTCCGATGTATTCATCGTAACTCGACGTATTTTTTTTTTCTCTCTATCTCTCGCAGCGAGATATAAAGTTTCTCTTGAAGGTGCAATTTAACGCTGCACCATGTATACCTTCTTGCTCTCGGAAAAGACTTGTTAAGCGGCTTTCGTATGATGCCATGCCTGCGCGCGCACTGTGTAACTTTATAAGAAGTACACAGAGATCAGAAAAAGCTCGACGCTCTCATCTCGTCGTGTGTCGCGACGGGCCTTCATGTATATATTTTCTAACAACGGCATTCGACAAAAGCCCCGTCGAGTTAGCCCCGTGTGTAGTACGCGATGACTCGGCTGGCTCACGAAATGCCTCCAAGACGACGAGAAATACGAGACTATCGATTGAAAAGGAGCTTTTAAAATTCTTCACAAGAAAATTCAACGCATATCTCCTACCGTATCATTAGGATTTCATCGGCTTTCCCATACTCAAACATTAGAACACATTGATAAATCGCAAATAACCTAGTAAGTAAATGCTCATTTAAGAGTGATAAATATGATAGCTCTTAATGGCCAGTCGTCAAGCATGGGTAAATACATTTGTTATTATAGTAAATAAAAGTTTACGTCTATATTAAACTCCGCACTCGCGTGTATGGCATTTCACGTGGATAATAATGCGGACTGTTTGACTGATGCGATGCGGAGATAATGCGTTTAATTATACCGACTGCTATGTCGTGCTTAAGGTTTATTAACTGAAGCTCTACAACATTTTTATTACTATTTTTTTTCTTTTTTTGCTAAATAGTCGATAAATCGTGATTATTTATGGTCTTTCGCGTTAAAGTTTGTAGTTTAACATCGTTCCCGCGTTAATCTCAAACCCAAAAGCCATATGTGTTATTGAAATTTTCAACGGCCAAGATTTATCAGATAAAATGCGGGACGCGGTCACGTCCGTTGTATTATTTTCCACGTAAATATTCACTCGGAAGCTTCCTTTTATGTATAGGCGTTGGTCATTCATTGTTATCGAAGCTCGTCCTTTCTTGTTGCGAGTTTGTTTTACACAATAAAAAAATGACAAATTAACTTTTGTAAAAGAGTCTCGCCGAGCGAACGATGCGCAATGACAAACAACTCGTTTTTATTCTCTTATTATTTGGAACTCGAATTTTATACTTTAATGAGTTTTGGTTTCGTCGTAATTTTTCGATTATAAAGGCTCTGAAAATGAACGCGTGAGATGAAAAAGAATAAAGGCAAGAACAGAAGTAAAGTATTAATGAGAACTTTATTGACGTTACACCTTTGAGAGTTCAAAGAATAATGACAGATCGCTCACGAATTCAAGCAAAATTAATAACGAAACAAAAATCTCACGATCTC